GAATGTCCTTTTTCCATTGAGTTGTCTTCACACCTTTGTCAAAAATTACTCTACCATATATGTAGGGGCCTATTTCTAGACTCTATTTTGTTCCATTAATATATGTACCTGTCCTTCATGAATACCACACTGTCTTGATCACAGTAGCTTTAAAGTGAACCTTGAAATCAGATAGTCTCAGTTCTCCAACTTTGTTCTCTCTCTCTCTTTTTTTTCCTTCCAAAAGTGTTTGGCTCTTCTAACTCCTTTGCATTTCTAAATACATCTTAGAATTGGCTTGCCAGTATCTAAAAAATATCCTGTTAGGATTTAAACTGGAAATTGCATTGAATCTAAAAATCAACTTAGGAAAAATTAACACCTTAATGATATTGAATTTTTCAATCTATAAACACAGTATATATCTCCATTTATTTAGGTCTTCTTTGACTTCTTTCACCAATAATATGTAGTATTCTGCATACAGATCCTGCATATATTTTTGCTAGGTTTGTAACTAAATATTTCATTGTTTTTGGTGTGATTCTAAAGTGTACAGCTTTTATTTTTATTTTTTATTTTTTGTAAAATGTACAGTTTTTAAAACTTCAATTTCCACTTGTTCATTGTTATTATATAAAAGTAAAATTGATTTTTGTGCATTAAACTTGTATCTGCAACCTTGATAAACTCATTTAAATAAAGACAATTTGTTTCTTCCTTTCTGGTCTGTGTGCATTTTATTTATTTTTCTTATTGCACTGGCAAGAATTTTCAGAACAGTGTTAAATAGGATTGATGAGAGAAGACATCCTTACTTGTTGCTAAGCATTTGTCTTTTACTATTATGTCTTTTACTATAATGATGTTAGCTGTAGTTTTTGATATATACTCTTTATCAAGTTAAGAAAGTTTTCTTCCATTCCTAGTTTGCTGTGAATTTTTATCATAAATAATTGTTGAATTTTTTCAAGTGCTTTTTCTGCATCTGATAAGACGATTGTGTGGTTTTTCTTCTTTGATCTGTTAATATCATGAACTATATTGATTGATTATTGCATATTGAAATGGCCTTACATTCCTGGGATAATCTCACTTGGTCATGATATATAATCATTTTATATGTTGCTGCATTTAATCCAATAACATGCTGTTGAGGATTTTTATAATTGTGTTCATGAGATATATTGGTCTACTGTGTTATTTTCTTATATGCCTGTGTCTGCTTTTGGCATCAGAATAATGCTGACCTCATAAAAAGAGTTAGGAAGTGTTTCTCTCCTTGTCTATCTTCTGAAACAGCTTGTGAAAACTTCATATGACTTCCTTCTTAAATGTTTTGTATAATTTGCCAATAGAAACAATTTTCTTTGTTGGAAGGCAATTTAACATATAAATTTAGTTTCTTTAATAGATATAGAGCAACTCAGGTTATCTATTCTTTTTGAGTGAGTTTTGGTAATTCATGTCTTTTGAGGAATGTGTCCATTTAATCTGTTATAGAATTTATAAGCAGAGGGATATTCATAGTAGTCTTATCCTTTTAATTTCTTTAGGTTCTGTAGAGATACCCCCTCCTTTCATTCCTGATATTGGTAATTTGCGTATTCTCTCTTCCTTTTCTTGGTCAGTTTTGTTAAAGTTTGGTCAGTTAGAATGATGTGTTCAAACTGGATGCATTTGAAGCAAGAATCCCCAAAGATTCTGATATTAATGATTATAGATGGGTCTTTAAGAAACTCCAATCTATGACATATAACATATTCACTATCAGTAAGACTTAGCAAATTCAAAGTAAGACTTATATTTGAATAAAGCTCTTGTGATTTTCCCAGCTCTAACCTATCTCACCATCTCACATACTTTGTTAATTCAAAAAATCATTTAATTATTAGAACAAACTTTACCTGGAAAATGCAATAGCCACTTCAAATGAGTAAATGGTGGGTTTTCATCTTCCACTAACAAACCTTTCTAGGGGGCCTGGGTGGCTCAGTTGGTTAAGCGACTGCCTTCGGCTCAGGTCATGATCCTGGAGTCCCGCGATCGAGTCCCGGGCTCGAGTCCGGCATCGGGCTCCCTGCTCGACAGGGAGCCTGCTTCTCCCTCTGACCCTCCCCCCTCTCATGTGCTCGCTCTCTCTCTCTCTCTCTTTCTCAAATAAATAAATAAAATCTTTAAAAACAAAACAAAAAAACAAACTTTTCTAAATCTCTCTTTATATTTCAAATAGTTACTGACATATAATATTGTTACATTAAATATCTTAATTATTAATTTTTCTTAATCAAAAGAAGTTACTATGGTTCATGTGATCCTGAATTTAAAATAAAATTATTTCAGGAGATAACAAATGTTTTCCAGATGTCCTTTAAAATTTATGATTGATTTATATACTCATGTTGACTTAAGAAAAACAAACAGGGCTTAGGAAATGATTCAAACATCCAAGCTATTAAAATTCAGATGCCAAGATAAACGAGTTGAAAATGTGCAATGCTCATCTTCTTTCTGGAGGCCCCAAAATTTATGACTAAGTTATTCCTATAAGTCTAGGACCAATTACTGCTGTTTCCATAATGTTTAAAGCAATCCTGCCACAGTACTGGATTCAAATGGATTAATCTATTTTAAGCTATGGCTGCAATTATCAAAATCTGGCTTAATAAAATAAAGATAGTGGAATAAAAGAGATTCTAAGAAATATTTATTAATTTTTCACTTTTTATTTTAATAAAAATATTTTTCACAAATAGAAATTTACCTTGAAGTCCTCTAAAACCAGATTAATTTTCCTATCCTCTCATCCCATTTCAAATATTATCAAAGCATCTACATGCTGCCCTGTGAAACCACGTCTCTAATATACTATATAAAGTCAGGGCAATCATATATTCCAGCTCAGATAATAAATTATAAAGTCAACCTATCTAAAATGAGTTCGAGTCAAAGCTATCAATATAAAATTAAATATTCATTAGAGCAAGTACTAACTTACCAACACTAAATGCAAAGCAATTTAAAGATAAAAAGAATTAATGCCTTTTGCTTTTAATGAAATGATACATCATAAGTTGGTGTATATAAGCACTACCAAATAACAAGATGGAGTTTTTAAAGTACTATTACTAATATGTTTAAAAGAGTATAACTGAAAGAAGAAAGTTGAGCATAAGCTAGACTCCGCAGCATAAGAATCAAAAGATGTCTGTTTTGGTCCCTACTCTATTCTTGGCACCTAGCACAGCACCCAGAATAACTTTTGTCTGCTGACTGTAAGTCTAGTGGTTAAGTACATGGGTTTGGAGGTCAGACAGATATACGTTGAAATCCTACCTTATCTAGGTAGATATATACTAAAACTTTCATTAAAGAGAGGAATATCTAGTTTATTTTTCTAAGTCTTGAGACATGAATCTGAAAGACCCTAGTTCTAAAAATCAAATATGTTCTCAAAAGTTAGGATTACAACATGAAAACCCCTAAAAAGTTATGCTTTAGACTTTAACAGCAACTCATAAAGAGGAGTTTCAGTATTTGTAGCATGTTATATAAGTAATTATCTGTGCAAAATGTTCACTTTAAGGGGGATGATACTTTGGGATATATAAGGTCTCATATATTTGTTTAAATTCAGTCTCAGACACTGATGGGAGAATAAATTTAATAAAAAGTGGAATTATATATCAAAAGCCTTATTACAACTGTTTGTGTACTTTGGCTCATTAATTCCACTTCTGAGAATCTACCCTAAATCAAAATATAGAGATATTCATTGAAATACTACTTGAAACAATTACAACAAAAGGAACAACCTAATGCCCAACAATAGAAAAACAGAACCAACATCAATTATGAAAAGATTTTTGACAAAGAAAACTGTTTTGTTACACTGCAAAATCAGAAGTGTATAATAAAAATTATGTATGTAGTATGCATTTAACCACATAAAAATATATACAGAACTAGCATTAAAACTATCTCAATTTAAAGATAAAGACTGTCAGATCAAGTTAAAATAAAAGGCAAATACTTCAGATAAGAGGAGCAACTAAAAAAATAACAGACAAAGTTTAAAAGTAAAAGACACCTTAGAATGTGTTAGGTAAAGACATATAAAACAGTTGTCAAACATTAATTTCATAAAAAGGACAGTTCAAGGAACAAAGCATTAAGTGGAATAAAAGGTACAAATACATGTGTACAATAATACATTATAAAGACCCATAACTGTATAAAAATCTGTATATCAAATTACACAGTATAAAATTAGTCACTAGAGTATATGTGAAATATTTAGAAATACCCTTTACATAGAAAGTTTCAACATGCTACTATAAATTCTGTCATATCAGACAGAAAAACAAATAAGAACATAGAGATTTGAATAATTAATAATTAAATTAATGATGCACTCTGCAAACACTTCATATAATTTGAAAAGCACCTAAGTAAAATTAATATACTGACCTCCACTAAGCCAAAAAGAAAATATAAGTAAGTTCTACAAAAATAAATTATAAAAGGCTAATGTTTAAATTACAAAGCAATACACTTATAAAATAATGGAAGTTTAAACAAAAACATTTCAAAATTAACAGTGTTTCTCCTATTTGGGTCACAGTCTGTGGAATATAGTCAAAGTTGTCCAAAGGGACAATTTCATAAGCTTTACTATTTAAAAAAATGAATAGAGGTAAATGAACATTTAATTCAAGAAGCTATAAAAATAAATACCTATTAAATTTTGGACTTTCCCAATGCTAGACTCTGTTCTCATTCTGTTGCAAGGTAATTTCATCCATTCTTAAAGTTTCATTTGTCATTTATATGGCAATCAAAATAAAACTTAAAAAATCCAGAACAGAAATTAACCTTCAAAAAGAAAGACAAATCAAAGAGTAAAAGAAAAGTTCAGGGGCACCTGGGTGGCTCAGTCGTTAAGCATCTGCCTTTGGCTCAGGTCATGATCCCAGCGTCCTGGGATCGAGCCCAGCATCCGGCTCCCTGCTCCGCAGGAAACCTGCTTCTCCCTCTCCCACTCCCCCTGCTTGTGTTCCCTCTCTCGCTGTGTCTCTGTCAAATAAATAAATAAAATCTTTAAAAAAAAAAAGAGTAAAGAAAACTTCAGAAAGTAAAAGTACTTTTAAACAACTTGCTGAGAGGGAAAAGAGAAAGGTAAGAAAAGTTACTATAGTTATGAAACAATTATCATCTGCTACTACAGATGATAAAAGAAAATAAGATATCTTAAAATCAAAAACAGAATAGACAGAATAAAAATTTCAAACAATAGTTTAAAAGACAGTCAGCACTTCCAGTTTCTGCTCTAACAAGCAAAGAGCTTGGAAGTTATGTCTCCCACCTTCATACCTTCATAAGAAGAAAAAATCTGAACAAATGTGGCTGCCACACCATGAGGATACTCAAACAGCCCTGTGGAGTAATCCATGAAGAGAAGAACTAAGGTCCCTAGCCTACAGCCAGTAGCAATTTGCCACCTTGGAAATGTATTCTCCAGCACTCCTCAAGCGTTCAGATAACTACAGTCCCACCCAACATAAAACTTCAATCTCATGGAATGACCTGGAGTTCTAAGCTCATTCTGAATGTGACCTACAGAGACTATGAGAGATAAATGATTTTGTTGTTTTAAGCCACAAAGTTTTGGGCTGACTTATTATGCAGCATTAGGTTATTAATGTACTATTTTGATAGGCATGTGACAGAAACATAGGATCATTTAGAAAAAAAATCACATTAAGAATAAAGAAAAACAGAGATATTGGCAGAGAATTTTTCCAAAACTAAAGAATGTCATCTTCTATTATCTTCCATTGGCTCAAATAGTTCAGTGAATTTTAAGTAAGATTAAAAGAAAAAAAAATCATACCTAGACATCATAATAACACTACAGAACATCAAAGATAAAGAGATCTTTAGGGAAGCCTAACAGAAAAAGAAAAATGATCTTCAAAGGATCAAAACTTAAACTGACAGTAGACTTTTTCATAGCAACAATGCATCCCAGAAGTCTGTGAAATGATGTGTTCAATTTTGCCGAGAGAAAGGAACTATCAGAATTCTGTACCCAGAAAGACTATAACCAAAAAGTCATTAAAATGGAGGTAAACTAAAAAGGTCTTCAGAGAAGAAAAAACAGTGAGTTTGCTACCAATAAAATATTACTAACTGGCACAAAAATAAGCACATAAAATAGAGAGCCCAGAAATAAACCCACGCTTACATGATCAATTAATCTATGACAAAGGAGGCAAGAATATATAATGGGGAAAAGACAGTCTCTTTAACAAATGGTGCTGGGAAAACTGGACAGCTACACGCAAAAGAATAACTCAACCACTTTCTTACACCATACACAAAAATAAACTCAGAATGGATTAAATCCCTATATGTAAGAGCTAAAACCATAAAACTCCTAGAAGAAAACATAGGCAGTAATTCTTTGACATTGGCCATCACAATAGTTTTCGATCTATGTCTCTTCAGGCAAAGGAAACAAAAGCAAAAATAAACTATTGGGACTACATAAAATAAAATACTACTAAAATAAAACAGCTTTTGGTGCAGTGAAGGAAACTATCAACAAGACAACCTACAGAATGGGAAAAGATATTTGCAAGTGATATATCCAATAAGGGGTTAATATCCAAAATATATAAAGAACTTAGACAACTCAACACCCAAAAACCCAAACAATCAAATTTAACAAAGACCAGAGGACCTGAATAGGCATTTTTCCAAAGAAGACATACAGATGGCCAACAGACACATGAAAAGATGCTGAATATCACTCATTATCAGGAAAATGCAAATCAAAAACACAATGAGCTATCACCTTACACATATCAGAATAACTAAAATCAAAAACACAAAAAACAATAAATGTTGGTGAGGATCTAAAGAAAATGGAACCCTCATGCACTGTTGATGAGAATGCAAATTTATGCAACCACTGTGGAAAACAGTAGGGAGGTTCCTCAAAATATTAAAAATTTTAAGATTAAAAATTAAATTTAAAAATAATAAGAATTACCATATGATCCAGTAATTCCACTACTGAGTATGTGCCCAAAGAATACAGAAACACTAATTCAAAAAGATATATGCACCCCTAAGTTTATTGCAGCATTATTTACAATAACCAAGATATGGAAGCAACCTAAGTGTTCATCCACAGATGAATGGATAAAGAAGATGTTGTGTGTGTGTGTGTGTGTATATATATATATATATATATATATATATATATATATATATATATATATATATAATGTAATGTGTATATAAGTATATGGGGGGGTGTCTGTGATGGAACATTATTCAGCCATAAAAAAGAATGAAATCTTTTTTTTCATGTTGTTGCCATTTGCAACAACATGGACAGACTTAGAGGGTATCATGCTAAGTGAGGTAAGTCAGTCAGAAAAAGACAAATACCATAAGATTTCACTTAAATTGGAATTCAAGAAACAAAACATATGAACAAATAAAAAAAAAAGGTAAACCAAAAAAACAGACTCTTTTTTTTTTAGATTTTATTTATTTTATTTGAGAGAGAGAGAGAGCACATGAGAGGGGGGGAGGGTCAGAGGGAGAAGCAGACTCCCTGCCAAGCAGGGAGCCTGATGCAGGACTCGATCCAGGGACTCCAGGATCATGACCTGAGCCGAAGGCAGTCGCTTAACCAACTGAGCCACCCAGGCGCCCAAAAACAGACTCTTAAACACAGAGAACTGGTGGTTGCCAGAGGTGAGGTGAGCAGGAGGATGGGCAAAATAGGTGAAGGGGATTAAGTGTACACTTACCATGATGGAGAATGAGAAATGTATAGAACTGTTAAATCATTATATTGTACCCCTGAAACTAATGTAACACTGTATGTTAATTCTAATTCACTAGAAAAAATATTACTAAAGAAATTACAAAATATGTTCTTTAGTCACATGGGATGGGAACAGTGGTGGAATGTTTAAAGTACAAGAAGGAAAGGGTTATACAGATGAATTCAATCAAATCTTGATAGTATAAAATAACAAAACTAATGTCTTTCTGGATTGAAATTAAAGCAAGAATAAGTTAGAATTAAAATGCATGACAATAATAGGACACAAATGGGAAGCAGGTGACTGGAATCAACTGTGCTAAGGTTTGTGTATTGTTCAGGAGGGGAGTAAGGATTTTTTATTAAACTTAGATCTTGATAACGCAACATTCATGTTACAATTTCTATGAAAATCCTTGGAATAATACCTCTTTTATTATTTGAAAGATATGGCATCTACTAATAAGACTAATGTAAAATAACAGAAAAATATCGCTTGGGAGAAAAGACAAGAGAGAAAGAAACATAGAAAAAATAGAATAATAAGGAAACACAAAATAAATGTTAGAAAAAAATATCCAAATATGTGTGTGTGGTAATTTAAAACATATATATTTATATGAACAGATATTTATATATAAAACATATACTTATATATCATATATACTTACACACACATATATGGTAATTATATCTACATATAGTAATTAAAATAAATTTAAATGGACTAAATACATCCATTAAAAGACAAAGATCATCAGAATACATTTAAGAAAAGAAAAATCTACATCTAAAACAAGACTATAAAAAGTTTAAAGGGAAAAAGTTGAAAAAAAAATCCTAGGAAATAATGACCAAAAGAAAACTGTGGTCATTATTTTACTGTATTAATATTAGACACAACAGATTTTATAATAAAAAGCATTATTAAAATAAAGAGGTTCACTACATGCTCTTTAATGGAAAGTTAACAGTTCTAGGCTTCCATGCTCCTAATATTATGACCCCAAAACATACAAAGCAACAATTAACAGACTTCAAAGAGAGAGGAAAATCTGCCATAACAGTGGAAGATTTTAACGTAACTATCTCAGTAACTGGAAGATTTAGTAGAAAAAAATTATGGATATAGACAATTTGAATAACATAATTAATAAGATTCATCTCATGTTAGTCTAGAAAATGCACCCAACAACTGCAGAAGGCACTTTTTTATCAGGCACACAGGAAGCATTTACCAAAGGTGACCACATACATAAAACAATTCTCAACCAACTTGAAAGGATTGTACTCACAGACCTTCTTCTCTGACTACAATGTGATTAAGTCAGAAATCAATACTAGAGTGATAAGAGAATAAAGACCTTAGAAACAAATACCCTTCTATGGTCATTTGCTATATAATAGGGATGGTTGCTGCAGAGGATCCATACCTAACATCATACACAAAACCCATTCCAGATGGATTTCACAGCCACATGTGAAAGCAAAACTATAAATTTTTTAGAAAACAGTATAGAAGAATATTTTTATGACCTCATGGCACAAAAGGATTTTTCGAACAAAACACAGAAAGCACAAATCAGAGGAACAGATTAATTCATATGAAGGCTAAAATTAAGAACTTGTATTTATCAAAAGACTCCATACAGTAAGTGAAATGTAGATATCTGCAAAATATATAACCAACAAAGGATGATATATCAATAATATATGAAGAACACTGTACTTCAATTTTAAAAAGAACCTAATAGGAAAATGGAGGGGAAAAATGAATTTCACAGGGCGCCTGGGTGGCTCAGTTGGTTAAGCGACTGCCTTCGGCTCAGGTCATGATCCTGGAGTCCCGGGATCGAGTCCCACATCGGGCTCCCTGCTCAGCAGGGAGTCTGCTTCTCCCTCTGACCCTCTTCCCTCTTGTGCTCTCTATCTCTCATTCTCTCTCTCTCAAATAAATAAATAAAATCTTTAAAAAAATAAAAAAAATAAAAAAAAATGAATTTCACAGGAGCAGAAATGAAAATACACATACAACAGGAGATGTCAATCTAATTGATAAATCAGAGAAATGCAAACTAAAATCACAATGAGATAGTATTGATACTCACTAGACGGGCACAAATTTATTTTTATTTTTATTTTTTTAAAGATTTTTATTTGACACAGAGAGACACAGCGAGAGGGAACAC